TCTGTATGTGTGTTAGTGTGTGTCCATGTATTTGTATGTGTGTTAATATGTGTATCTGTATTTTTAAGTTAGTGTGTGTCTGTGTCATTATACAGTTTAAAACTGTGCTGTGAGGCCATAGCACAAAATCCTGTTTAAACTAGTGACGCAGAGGGCAATTGTCCTCCTGCCTCAATTGCCAGCACTTGCCAGCACTCCCCTAGTTCCAGCTAACACTTAAGTAACCTAAAATACTCCTCCTTTACTCTATAGTTAATTTGCCATAAGGAAAAGTAGAGTGACGATTCACACAAGTCAGTGCTCTTGCTGTCTGTTACTATATGCTACCATGTCTGTTCAGTGAGCTACAAAAACATTTTTCATTTAACCCTTCAGTTGCTGATAGAGTTCAGTGTTTGTGCGTAAGAATTATAGGAAGAGAAAATACTAGGTGAGAAAAGATGTTAATACAATATCTGCACCATCTACAGTGTGAATTTAACATGGTGGTGATAATTTCAGAAATTCTATTTTATAATTAGTGCCAAAGACTTTAGTTTGGACTCATCTAAATATAAGCATTGAAATTAACTGTAATAATCATATTAGCATGTTAATGAAAGAGCAAGTGTCGAGAAGAGTTGTATAAAAAGTGGGATTTATTTAAAGTATTAAAGAATTTTCTACCTAATTCAACATGATGCACTTGGATAAGCCATGTATTATAGCTGGTAACTATAACCTTCAATGTAACCTCTTTACGGGGATAAAATTGAAAATAACGTAAATATGTGCTGGCTCTCATTTGTTTTGCTGCATGATCCTAACAATTTTAATAAACAGTATATGCATTTTACAGCACTGCTCTTACATGAAATTCCTCTCCTTAACCACTACACTACAAAGGTATAGGGAGTCCAGATTGGTCATTGGGTTCCAGGTGGTACATTAATGGGGGAAAAGGAATGTTAGGCACCTTATTGGAGTATTGCATCCTGCAAAAAGCCGTCATAGACATCCATTATAGTCTCCGGTCATTTTATTCTTTCTTGGCACTAATAAGTACCGATTGCTGCCACCTGATACAGAAAAATTATATGGTCTAATAGACCAGATAAACACTCCTTAGGTATCTGTGCATGGAATATGCCAATATCAATAACAATTTCTTAAAGTCAAGGAAGAAAACACAAGTTAGTTTAAGACCAATTTATAGATCAAAACTCACAGGGGAATTGGGTCTACCAGAGTTAATATGATATACCAGGGCAGAGCAGCTTGGCCATTTGGTGAAATTGAATACCCTGAAGTCTTTAATTCGTTAGCTTGAAATTGAAGATTTGTACTACAGACCGAATATGATTTAGACTCTACTGTGTGTAAAATAGAAAAACAGGGGAATTGAGAAACTATTGCCTTGCACAGAGGATTCATATAGCCTTTGGTCTTTTGATGAAGTACAAAAGGGAGAGGAACATGGATATGACCCGTTAGCCGCAACATATTTTTGATTGAGTTACAATTTCTTTTTAATGATACTTTACCATAGAAAGTACAAAAGGGAGAGGAACATGGATATGACCCGTTAGCCACAACATATTTTTGATTGAGTTATAATTTCTTTTTAATGATACTTTACCATAGAATGTTCGTTAAAAATGTAAATGTAAATGTAAAAGGGGAATGGCCGACAGTTGACTGGAATGGATGCAAAGAGGGAAAAATAGTTTTGGGGAACAACAGGAACATAAATTTCTCAGCAGTGGTGCTGCCATAGAGACCAAAATGTATACAAAATACAGATTAAGGAACAGCACACACACAAAAATACAAGTTTAAATTTTAGAAGGCTACCTAAAATTACCTATCTAAGCAAACAAATATGCTATAACAGATATAGACCCAAACACTTACCCCTAACCCTAACCCTATCCCAACCCCTACCCCTACCCTTTTTGCCACTTTTAAGAAGTCCGAAGCACTTCTGGTTCGATTTGGCACTTCTGAAATTTGGCACTTCGACACTTCGTAAATTCGACAATTCGGCACTTCGGCAATTAGGTTCGGCACTTCTGAAATTCGGCACTTTAGAAATTCTGCAATTTGGCACTTCGGACATTCGGACATTCAGGAGCATCCCAATGTCCGAATGTCCAAAATTCGTCCGAATTTCCATTCGGACCGAACCAAATTGCACATGTCTATTAACCAGAGAATCATGCATACAGCCACAAGATCCTATACCTCACGGCCTACAGGAATCTGCAGATTTACACAGACTTGTCTCCAGCTACCCTACAGCATCAGCATCGCCTATAACATCAGCCTTTTTTTTTCTCACACCTTGAGTTTAATTTAATTTTTGTATTCCTCATTCTTGGATCCTCTATCAGAGTACTGGTAGTCTGAGGGTTCTGCACTTTATCATCCTAGAACAGCACCCTTCTGGACAGAAATATTAGATGTCCCATCTTGATACTGCTGAAATCACTCTCCCAACATGGGGGTTACAACTTTGCATGCCCAGATCACACTACTGCCTTCAGTTTCCACATTCCTTCTAGTTGTCTCTCTCAGTCCAGATTCTTATACTCCTTTTTCTTGATGCTATGGTTTCAGAGTATTGCCAACTATCTCAACATTGAGGATCCTTGACTACCTCCTCAATGTTGAGTTAGTTGTCCAGTACTTGCTTGTCTATCTGGGCCTGGAAAGCCCACGGAATCTTAGCGCTGTCATTCTCAAAGTTTTGTTCAACTATGTTTGTTATTAGACTGTAAGCTCATTCATTTAGAGATCTTTTTGCCAGTACCTGCATGTTTTATGTTCACTACCATATGTTGGATATTTGTAAAACATTATAAATAAAAGAGAGATGTTTTTGTGCGTGGACAGATTTTACGTCTCAGCAGTGAATTGTATTCAATGTTTTAGACGCCACATGCATAATGCATTCAACTATGCAGAAATTTTTTTCGATTTTTATTTATTTATTTTTTTATTTGAAAGTTTTTATTGTTTCTATAGGGTGTAGGAGTACAGAAAGGAAAAAAGGGGATGTGGTAGTTTGGGGGGAGTGCAGGGGAATGATTCCTAACAGCAGTTCACAGTTTTGTTATCATACAAATAGCCATTGCACAAGTAACATTGAGTGAGCATATCAGGTAGCTCGTGTGTATGTTATAAAACGGGCTAATAAGTGGCATTTACTTTTTTTTATCTATAACATTACACGGTTGGTGTCTTGGATAACACGCCAATGTGCAGAAAGTTTTTAATCTGCACAAATTTATTTTCTTCTTAAAAAAAATTCTGTGCTGATTTCCTCTTGATTGCTTGGCCCTGCCTTGGAAAAGCAACTCCAACCTCGTGCAGACATTTCTGGAAGTCATAACTGACCATTATTTTCCATGTGTGCCAAACAAGTGTTTTCATTTACAGTCAAAAGCTCTAAAAGCGATTTATACTAAACAAATTATAATTTGTCCACCATATGGCCAAATCTCAAAACAAACAAAACTGACAATGGATGGAATCATATTGTTTGCTTCAAAGTTCTATCCATGGCGCCAAAAATGAAGATGATTGATGGAAAAAAATATTGATGGTCAAGGGACAGCCAATAAATCATGATTTTACTTACAGATCAAAGGAGAAATGATAAACATAGAGAATATTTGAGGAGGATTAAAAAAAAATCTACATTATATATTTAATAAATATATAATATATAAATATTTAAATACTGAATTTTAGTGCTCCTTGTCATTTTCCTTCTATTGGTTATTACTTCTTACTTGATCTGGGAACCAAATGGTGCAAAAATGTGCTTATCAGGGTACTACAAAATGTGTACATACTATTTATATTTTGAAGTACCCCGATTGTTCCGTTTTCACTCCATTTTGGTTTGTATAAATTGAGTTTCTCAAAAACAATTGCATGGACAAAATTTGTCCAAATTGAAGTTCCACACAGATGAAGATATATATATATATATAGCTGATTCTTTATTATTCAGGTTTCCTCAGCCTCCTTCGTAGGTTTCTAGGCTATATATTTAGTTTAGATGTTTTTTCATTATAAAAAGCCCGTGTGTCACTTGGTGTTTATGTCATATTGTCTAGCATCAAATTATTATATTACTAATTTTGCATACTATACACTTTAGTGGATATCATGTATAAGATAATTGTATAATTTTGTATACAGTATTTGTGTATATACTCTGCTCTTTTGCTTTGATTTTATTTATGATGTCAGGTATTCGTTTTTCACAGTTTATTATATTTGTTTGTTGTGTGCTTACACGTTTATCACTCAGGTTTTCACATGACACTGCACAGCACTTGTTGCTTATGTACTCGATTCTCCTGACTTTTGTATCATTCACTTTGTATTGGTAGTTTACACTACCCACTCCTTGCTTCACACTGATCTACTTGCTCCCGGCATAGGATTTTTCTACTTTGTGTATTGTTGCCTTGGCAACCACTTTTTCCCTGTACGACGCCCTGATCACGTGACGTTGTGTGCAGCTTCCATTCACTTCCGGGTTCTAATGGGCAAACACACTCCTCCTCACTTCACCATTGGGTAAGTGTTTATTCACTTAGATTTGTATTTTATATATAAACACTTTCTTGTCATGTATTATATGATCTTGAAAAAGACCCGGCAGGGTCGAAACGTCGATTGATTTTTTTGTACATCACAGATGATTTATTAAAGCACCAGTTTTCCTATTAACCAGAAGACCTGTGAGTGCATTTTGATTTTTATTTTTGTTTATATATTTGACACCAACAATTTGCACCCAGGCATGTGAGTTACAAATTTATATTTTTTTTGGAGGTGAGTGCCAAGCGTTCACCTATATATATATATATATATATATATATATATATAGTGTTCAAGTAGAGATTGTAGCCGTATTAGTCCAGTGATGTAGATGTAAAAAAACAGATAAAATTTGTATCTTGTAATACCTTTTTTATTGGACTAACAGAATTTTTTAATGACAAGCTTTCAGGAGAACCTCCCTTTCTCAAGTCTGAAGCATTCCTGACACTATTTCACATAGTGTCGTCTTGCTCAGAAATGCTTCAGACTTGAGAAAGGGAGGTTCTCCCGAAAGCTTGTCATTAAAAATTTCTGTTAGTCCAATAAAAAAGGTATTACAAGATACGAATTGTATCTGTTTTTTACATCTATATATATACACATATATATATATATATATATATATATATATATATATATATTATACATTATTTTTATATTTTTTTCTAGACAAATTAATTCGGACAAACCATATATTTTCGCCATGCACTAACTTAAATTTAAAACTTACATCAGATGTAGATTGCACATAGAGTATCTTCAACAGACAGGTCAACGTAAATGCCCTCGCCACTGAAAACCCTCTTGAGCTTAATTATACAGCATTTGCAGAATTTATTATCACCTGTGTCTATACTATCACATACTTATTATAAGTGTGACTTCCATTGTTAGGTAGAATAAGTGCCATATAATTAAACACATCATTCTGAAATTATGCCAGCTAAATCAGCTGTTTTTTTCTTCATATCCACACTCTTCCAAATTAAATATTCAGTCAATTCTTCAGTTGCTCAACCAAAGTCTTAGATGCCTCTCAAGTCACAAAGTAATCAACAGTAACTAAATCTAGGTATCAGCACCTAATGATTTGTTTGGAGTTACACTTGGTAAGTTTCACATTCTCAGAAATTTATTTTTTCTTCCTCCTACACTGTCAGAATAGAGATGATTTATGGCAATAAGAACAGGTGTATTCGTATCAAGCGAATTAATAAAATTGAGCTGGAGTAACCCTTTAGGTTCTAGCAATGAGATGTCAGCCTCAAAGTTTTCAGGAAAAATAATAGATATAACATTCCTGTGAGTTTGACTTTGAAATTGTTGACAATTTTACACATTTTGAATGTCCAATGCCACGGAGTAAGATTAGCCAAATGTTCTTATACAAACATACAATACAGTTTGTCCTGCCCCTCTTCCTCCAATGTGTGTGTGTAGGGTAAGAAGGGAGTTATACAAGACAAGTGGCTTCTAACCTTGCCTCCACAAATTGATGGGCCAGAGGTTACCCAGCCCTCTGTCTTTTTATTTGTCTATCTGGACCAGGAGATTACTAATTTCCAACCCAATAATGTGTAAATAGGACCAAAGGATGCATTGCCCTCTTGTCCTTAATATGCTTTTAACAATGAACAGTATCCAGGCTCTTAAGTCTTAAAAAGGACTAAAAGGTGGCCAACCCTTTGGTCCGGTAAAAGTTAAAAGACAACAGCCCAATCCTGCCTCCCCAGTTCATCTGCTAGCATTTCGCTATCAGTGAGGGCTAAATCATTAGAGAGAATGACTTCATGCTAAGAGAGCTCTAGAACTAAAACTAACCCTAACCCTAAAGCATGACCTGTACCCCTAGACCTAAAACTAACCCTTCCTTTGACATACTAACTTTAGTTCTAAAATAATGTAATATAAAAGATATATAATTGAGAAGCATGAATGGGACAATAATGCCATCTTCAGGTTTTGGAAGCTTTCATAAAGCACTCAACTTTTGGTCTTCATGGAATTTTTTTCCATAATACATTTACATATATATTAATAGCAGAATGCTAAAGCATTATTTAGATCATTGGAATGCACCTTAATATATATACTTTATATAACCTAAATACAGGCCATTAAGACCCAGTGTGATTCACTTTCTTTGGGGACATTTCAAATAAACTGCTACGTCCAATAATTTGATTAGAAAGTATTTGCGTTGAATGCTACTTTGAGTTGCTTATTAATTTTTCATTTCATTTTATTATGTGTAGTTCTATAACTGTTCCTTCAAGATGTGAATAATTATATTGGATTTTTTTTTTAGAAAATGTCACATAATATTACAAAGAATAAGAATATTGATATGTTTTTGTATCTTGCTTGTATTTGAGATTATTACAACTTCCTACACTTTTAATTATGAATATATAAAAAAATTAAAAAAAGATTTATTCTATAATGCAACAAACTTTCAGTAATATTCATTGTATTGGCTTGATCACCATCAATCCAAAAGCTTTTTTCAAATATTATGAATATTGCTTCACTTTTAACACCTGGTAGTCCAAAGAAGTAGTCAATTTTTCAAAAAAAATGGAAAAAGACAGAAAAAAAACTTCTCTCTAAATAACTATAAGAAAATGGAATTCTCCACTCATTTTACAAAGAGTCACAACCACGCTAATTAAACCACAGAATATCACATAACTTCTATTTAGGGATGTTCATGGGCAAAATATTCTATCTGGTTCGGAAATTCGGGTAAGTAAAAAAATGTGTCTGCCTCGGCAATTCGGACCAATGGCATTTGGTTCGGCACTTCGGAACTGCAGAATGGCATTTGGTTTGGACATTCGGCATTCAGGCACACGGCATTCGGTCATTCATTTTGGGCATTCAGCAGTTCGGCATATCATTTGTTTCAGGCATTCGGCAGTTCGGAATGTTGTTCATTTGAAAAATAAACATTTGTGTGTTTTTTTTCTTAAACAGCAATGTTTTACACTGCATAGAGGACCACAGCAGCACCTAGACCACTTCTTTAAGTGGTCTGGGTTTAATTAATAATTAGTAGTGTTAGTTTAGTATATATACAATTTGCAAATTTATATTTTCACTGCACAGATAGTGCAGCTATTTAGGGAGCACTACGAGCATGCAACACTTCTGCACACTATATAATCTCACCCCTGTGACACCATCTTTGTGGAGAGTGTAGGAGCAGAGAATGAGCAAAGAGGGAGAGCAGAGAGTGAGAGCAGAGAAAAAACAATTTGTGTGTGAACAAGCAAGTAAGAGTGTGTGAGAGAGAGAGAGCAAAGTGAGAGCAAACGATGGCTGGTACACAAAATTAATCACTGCAGTAAAGTAACAGTGCAGCAGAGTGACACCCTGACAATGAGACCACCTGGCTTGAACAGCCACACACTATTTCACCCCCCTTTCAAAAAAAGAAACAAAATGCAGAAGAAAAAAAGGCAAAACTCTCTCTCTCTTTCTCTTTCTCTCCCTGTAACACACACTTAAAAGCAACGTGGCTCCCCAAGTTTGCAACAAGTAAAGTACAATAAATGTAATGCAATTTATCTCTCTCAGTCTCTTGTGCTATCGCAAATAGTCTAGTCACATGAATGCAAGCCAACACCCTGACAGCCTGAGTTATATACTATCCCACCTCAACGACCTTGTGTGCCTTCATTGGCCAAGTGTCAGTGACAAAATCACCATCAACTGGCTGTCCTCTAACATCAATCACAAAACTTTGCTCATTTAATTGGACAGGGAATAGTGAACCCGGATTGGGCAAGCAAGCATTACATTGCACAAAAGGAATGAGCTTATTGGCCAAGACTCCTGTCATTATTCATGTAATTTTCCCTTCTCTCGCTCTTGTTTTGCCACTTTGCAGAAATCCGGATCACTTCGGTGCTTCGGCACTTCTGAACCTCGGGGCTTCGGAACCTCGGCACTTTGGACATTTGTAAGCATCTGAATGTCTGAATGGCATGAAATTCGTACGAATGTACATTCGGAACAAAATGAATTTCAAATGTCTACTTATATTTACCTTTTTCCATGTGATCCTCTGCATTCTTTTAAATGTATATTAGAGATTTGGCAATTGACATCACAATCCAGTGCAGTCTAGACATAGCTGGGACATGTATTGAGTTGCAAAACAAAAACAAAGGTGCAAGATTTATCAAATTGATGAGCTTTGCATGTTTAAAACTCTGTTGAAATTATTATAGTTTTTCAAAAGTTGCCTGAAAAGTGTCACTGAATGGAGTGAGGAAGGCAGACAAGTGCTTTCAAAAAGTACTAAAATCAAAGCAGATCAATTTGTTCTAAAATAAAAATGAACTGGTGAAGTCGAAAGTGTAAAATGGATTACTATTTTGACATATAAAAAAGGGGAATTGGTGCACACCCAGAACATTTCTCAGCAGTGGAGCTGTTGTTAAGACCACAATTTATACAAAATACAGATTAAGGAACAGCACACACACAAATACAGTTTTATATTTTACAAAGCTACTTAGAATCACCTATCTCAGCAAACAAATATAATGATTCAATTCCCACCATATGGCCATATCGTGTTAAGCCCCCCACTACATCACAGTAGCCCAATATCAGAGGATCCTACGCTAATTTTAACATGGAAGACAAACAAAAATTTAAATAGTGCTAGTAGTAAATTAATATAACAAACTAAAGTGTGTTCAATTAATTAGTTGTACGAGCATTGTGAATATATATCATACAAAATTAATGTGATCAAAAACACAATAAAAAAAAACAGTGCCATAAATAAATAATTTAGGTGACAGTGATATGTATATACATATATTCACAATGCATATCATATCTGTTTCGTGTCAAATAAATATTGTTAAAGTGGCATTGCTACCCGAACCCTCTTCAAATGTGTGCATTCCTGTAACAACATGCAAAAGGGCATCTAAACTAGAGGAACAGGGTGCTCAACCCAAAAGGAATCTAGTCTGGATTCCAAGCATGAATGGAATCATGGAAAAAAAGGACACTTGGGGGTACACCCAGAATATGCATATCTTACAGTGGTGCTTCCATAAAGACTAAAATTTATACAAAATGCAGATTATAAAAAGAACACATGATTGATAATAAATGCTATTTACCTGCCAAAATCAACAGAAAAGAAAAACAAAAGTTAAGGTGCAAATGAAGAGGAGGTAAACATTCAAAAAAGGCAAGAACTGACAAATTACACCAGAATGTATTCCAAGAAAAGATATAGACATATCTATGGTATGTTGATCAATTTTCCCCATTGTTTCTCCTCTTCTCTCTGTAAGGTGTCTCTGATGACCGGCAGTACAATGGACAAAGCTCATAATGATTAAATAGAAGCCAAGAAGGAGCCGCCGAGTTCTAGTATAGAAGTAAATGTAACAATGTGAACAGCTACTTTTAATAGGAGAATCTAAACACCAAATCCCCTACAGCTTAATATACTGGTTTTGGTGCATAGATGTTGCCATTTTCTTAGACACTATGAAACATTGCCATTCTGAGAAATCGCTATATTTTCTGAAAACACACTACTAGTGGCAGTCAAGCCGACAGCCACCAGAACCACTTCCTCTTTAAGACATTCAATTTTTAAAGGATTACTCTTTAGATGTCACCACACACAGCACGATCACCCTAAATGTGGCTAATGAATCTTAGAAGAATTGATTTAAATCTTCTCTATGAGAAGCACTGAATTAGCAGATCGCAATGATTGTCAATTCTTCTCTATGCTTCTCTTTTTACATTTGCTAAATATAAAGGATAAGTAAATATACTGTTAAAAAATCCAGGGAATTCACTGCTTTTTTTAATGTAGAAGTTTTGTATACATCTACAGGTTTGCAGCAAGCTCCTTTGAGGTGATGAAGGATTATTGTTATGGTGTTGCATTTTAATTTCTTACTTTCTTTATTTTTACAAATTGGGTTTATTAAGATTAATTGTTATGTAACTTTTAAAAAAACAGATATCAGTTTTATACCCTCCTTCCCCCCTCACTATTATTAGGTAGGGCTCTTTATTTTTAATGGGTATTGGCAAGGGCATAGGGGAGGAGTGGTGATTTCCCACTATTTGGGGTATGGACATGCTATTGCCGTTGTTTAATTAATGAGAGCTCCTACAAGCCACCCATGGGGGGCACTAGGTCATTCCCTCTAAATATTAATACTAGGGTCCCTACCCACTGCCCATGAGTGGAGCTGGGAGGAGGACATTAGGTCCTCCACACT